AGTACTAGTACCAGTACGACGACGACGACTACTACTACCACTACTTACAGTGCTGCTGCTCTTCAATTCTTCCTACTGCTTGCGTAATCTGGTCTGTTTTGGTTACAGATCCTTCGTTGTATGAAAGCCTCTCTCTGTGCGTTGCTTGAATTGATTGAGCTTGATCCCAGCCTTTTCCTGTCAACGCCTGAAGCTCAAGATCAAAGCCTTCATACTCGACCGTTTTGGGAGATCGAGTTGTGTGGAAGGGTAGATCTCGCTTCCTCTCGGGTTTTGTATAAAGCGTTTAGGGCGGGTTTCTGTCTGGGAGTATCAATTGCTGCATAGGTTTCTGGTGTCGCGTTTCGGCGTCTTCGTCTTGCTAGGTATGTGGCTGCAGTGGAGGATGGTAAGGCTGCCGAGGACAGAGGGGATGACGCCACCTTTTGACACATGCACAATCTAGCTTGCCCTGTCCTCAAGTTCATCAGTGCCACCTTGCTGTTATTGTTCTTGAAATGTTGTTTGCCCGCGACTGTGATCATTGAGTGTTATTCTCGACTGTGGTGTTGATGCCGCTGCTGATGATGATGATGATGATGATGCATATCATAATGAGGAGGATGGTCAGGTGAGGACGGCAGCAGTCTACGAAAGAGCCCCAGGGATGCTGCATAGAATGATCGGGTGGCGCGGTGTTGGCTGCACGTCATCTGAAACTGGGGTTCGGATGCTGTGCTCTGGAGAGATGGCAGCTTCGAGATGTCTTTGGGCTTTAAATTTATTACCGCATGTCCTGAGTCCGAAAGCTTAAGGACTCGCAACCCCTTTTTTGCAAGGGATCCTAAGCTCGAAGCCCTGAGAGGCATCCTAAAACTGCAGAGCCCTAGGCCCGACACCCGAAGCTGAAGACTGAAGGAAGGCCACCAAGCCAAAAAAAGGGACACCGAACCTAAACCCTACACCTTAAGCCCCAAATCCTAAACCCTAAACCTTAAATCCTAAACCCTAAACCCTAAACCCCAAATCCTAAACCCTAAACCCCAAACCCTAAACTGTATATCCTTTCCTAGTCTGACGCAGGGCCAACAAAGAGCATTTTAGTAGGGTCGGAATAAACGGCAGCAGTATTCCTTGGGTTCCTGAATATATGAATGCGATGAAAATACCACAAAGCGCAATTCTATTCTATTCTATTCCCGAAGCCTCAAACCGGAAATCCCCTTCCCAAGAGGCCCGAGAGCTTGAATATCTCAGACGTCCGAATGTGGTCCTGGTGATCGAACTCACGAATCGCAAATGATGCCATGCTAGAAAGGTGTGTAAGTAAGTAAGTAGGCAAGTCGGTAGGCAGGTAGGTAGGCAGGTGGGGTAGGGGTAGGTAGGTAGGCAGGCAGGTAGGTAAGTAGGTAGGTAGGTAGGTAGGTAGCTAGGTAGGTAGGTAGGTAGGTAGGTAGGTAGGTAGGCATGTTGTTTTGTTTGGTGTCTCTCTGTGCGTGTGTTCTTGTGCCTGCGAACATAGACACTGTTTCATACATATATAGAAGCAGTATCTATGAGAATTTTAGAAATATCCATCTATCTGCCTACCTACTTACCTACCTACCTACCTACCTACCTACCTACCTATCTATCTATCTATCTATCTATCTAATATCTATCTAGCTATCTTTCTATCTTTCTATCTTGCTATCTTTCCATCTGTCTGTCTGTCTGTCTGTCTGTCTGTCTGTCTGTCTCTCTGTGTGTGTGTATGTATGTATGTATGTATGTGCGTATCTGTATATGTATGTATGTATGTATATATATATATAAATAAATATAAACAAGTGTATACATACATATGGAAGCACGCACACACACACACACACGCACGCACGCGTGCATGTGTATATATAGGCCTACTTCATGCATGCAGTGTCAGTCGATCCCATGGATGGCCGTGGCAATACGGGTGATGATTCACATAAAGACCCGAAGAACCCTAAACACCTAACATCAGTACTCCCGACGAGCCAGCCCAAACCCTGCACCCTGAGATTCTGCAGCCCGCGCACAGGACCCCACCAGACCTTTGACAAGAAACCCTAAAGCCCCAAAGCCCCAAAGCCCTAAAGCCCTAAAGCCCTAAGTCCCATACACCCCAGTATCCTTGTACAGCTGGAAAAGAGCCCCTCAGCTCTCAGCCCAGACCCTGGGTCCATAGCGGTAGACCCCTAAACCCTACAAGCCGTAACCGGCAAGCGCCCTTCCCCCAAAAAATCAGCTAAAAAAGCACGACTTTCAAGACTTGTCAGGAAGGCTGGCCTGACTGGGTGAACATCCCGTCGAAGGTCGGGAGATTGAGGTATGCGTGTGTATATCTGGCGAAGATGCACCAAGAACATGTTTCAGTGGTTTCCAGGCCTGAAAATGTCGAACTAAGGGGCGGCAACAGAATCTTAGCCTGCGGGAAGAAAGCCCTGGGCCCTAAAATCCGAGGAGATCTCCAGCCTCAGAGACAGAGCCTTTAAAGCTAGAACGCCGAACTCCCCCCAAAGTTAAGGGTTTGGGCTGCAGGGTTTAGGGTGTAGCGGGTTTAAGGGTTTAGGGACCAGGGTGTAGGGTTCAGGGGTTTTAGGTTTGAGGGAGCCCCGAAGTCTTTATGCCCGAGACCAAAACCTCAGGCCCTAAACCCCAAACCCTAAACCCTAAACCCCATATCATCAAATCTTCGGGCTCGCAGTGCTTTCCCAAGGTCCGACGTCGCCTAAACCCTGAAAGCGAATCCCACCCTTTACTTTGAAGCCTAGGCCTAAAACCACCTAAACTCCCCCTCTACCCCACCAAAGAGGTCGGCCAGGTTGCCGCAGTGAAAGTGGCAGCAGCCGCCACTTGGGTGGTTGAGGGGGGGTGGAAGGAGGAGTTTAGGATTGAGCTACGCACGCCACAGCAGTCCTTTCGGCTGGGATTTAGGGTTACTTTATCTTGTTGTTTGCCTACACCACAGAGCCCTAAATCCTAAACCGTAAACCCTAAGCCGCCTAAGCCCTAAACCCCCTTTTGTTGCTTTAGCAACTTCGGGTCGAGGCTCCAAGGGTAACTGCGGAGTTCGGAGATCCATGTGCCAGAAGTTTCTTCCGGAAGTTTGGGCTGAGAGTGTGCGGTTTTCGTTTTTAAATGTTGGACCCAAAACCCCCAAAACCCCAAAAAGGCTTGCGGAGATGCCAAAAAGCTGTGAGGCTCGATTCTACACCTCACGGGTGTTCAGCTGACAGAGAAGAGCTCTCAAACGAAGAAAAGCCCTCCAGCCTAGACGGTAAGTTTGCCCTGCCTCGAGCTCTGATTCCCAAAAGCCGCAAAGGCCTTCAGCCACCTTTTCGTCGGAGCCTGCTGCCCCGGGCTTGTAGATACCGCGGCGTCCCGGCCGTGGTTCAAAGACATGCCTGGGGCCGAGTGGGCAGGGGGGCCCTCTTCGTTCCGAGCAGCCCAAGAGGGTCTGGAATTGGAGATGAAGCCCCGAACCCTGAAGCATAGACCATACACCCCAAACCCTGAACCCTGAACCCGAAACCCTGAACCCTGAACCTCAACCTTAGCTAGGGCTCTTTTTTTTTTGTCTGCTTGGCATCTGGGAGGTTTGCCATGGTCATGTTAGGCGCGGAGACGCTCCCCGTCGGCGGAGCTGATTCCAAGGGAGAAGTCTCGCAAAACCCTAAACCCAAAACCCTGTACCCCAAAACCCCAAACCCTATCTATACCCCTAAACCCTAAACACCCAAAACCCCGAACCCCAAAACCCTAAACCCTAAACCACACAACCTCTAAACCCTGAGCCCCAAAACTCAAAACCCAAAACCCTGAAGAGTTCCAACCCTAGTTCACCTTTGGAGGTCCAATGCACAGAGTCCGGCCGAAGCCTCCACGGATGTGGCAGCTGGACATCGAGAGTTTAAGGGGGGGTTCATGGCAGTTATAGTTTAGGGTTTAGGGTTTAAAGCTTAGGGTTTAGGGTTTAGGGGGGTTCATGGGCAGTTATAAGATACCCGACCGCATGGACGACCCAGGGCCTGTATAAAACACTTTCTTTTCTACAAGTTGGGGGGGTCGAACCCCTCATTTTTTGGAGGTGCTGCTTTCCGCACACATCCTGTTGGGTTTTTGCTCCGTCTCATGGCTGCCCGGATTGGTCCAGTCCCAAAACGTGGCATTAAAGTCTCGGGTTCCAACGTGCGCTATAAGCTGTGCGGCGGATCCGATTGAATTCTTCCATCATGATCAAGGATGCTCATGGGTGCCCAGAAGCAGATCGGAAGGGTGAGTTCTCGAAAGAACGTTGATTTCAAATTACTTTCCTCACTGTTGGGTGGTCACGGCAAGCCTATGCTCATGTCAGGGATGTGTTCAATTCATCAGTTGTTCTCTGAAGCTTATTCGAATCATCAGTTCCTTCCGCAATCACGCAGTCAATCAAGTCAGTTACGTTTGTTTTTGATATTGACGGACCTGGAACTCCAACCCCCTAAACCACCAAACCACTAAACCCAAAGCGCCAGAACCGTTAAACCCTTTACAACCGAAGCCCCAAGCCCCAAAAACCAACACCCGGCTAAATCCGGAAGCCCTAGTTGCTAAACCCTAAACCCTAAACCCCAAACCCCAAAACTCTAAACCTCCGGGCCCCTTGAGCCTTGCATGGCAGCCGCCTCCCACCCAAGTCTGGGGGTTTAGGGTTAAAGGCTTAGGGCTTGGGATTTAGGGTTTAGGGCTTAGGGTTTAGGGCATAGGGTTCTTGATATTTTAATCTTACCACAACATACCCCAAAACCTTCTTCTGATTGCTAACGCTCCCATGCTCCTTCCCCAAACCCTAAACCCGTAAAGACCTAAACCCTAACCACCCCAAAACAAAAACAATCATCCGTTTTGAAGTCAAGTGGACAGCCTTTCATCCTCACCCTTGGACCGCAACATGTCCCCAGAAACTCCAAAACCCCTTGATCAAGAAGTATACCTCCAATCATAATAGGAACCGCAATAAGATTTAAAGTAAATTCCTTAATTGAGGGGTTTTGGAGTCTCTGGGTCACCTCCTCAGGTGTGGCTCGCCAAGGAAGGCCAGGTATCTGGGGCCTTTGGGATTTAGGGCTCTGTGTTTAGGATTCAGGGTTTGGGGTTCAGGGTTTAGGGTGTAGGGTTCAGGGTTCAGGGCTTGGGGTTCAGGGTTTAGGGTTCAGGGTTTAGGGCTTCAGGGTTTAGGGTTTAGGGGTTTAGAGTTTAGGGTTCAGGGTTTAGGTTTCAGGGTTTGGGGTTCAGGGTTTATGTGTTGTGGGGTTTAGGGTTTAGGGTTTCTGGGTTCGGGGTTTAGGGTTTTGGGGTTCAGGGTTTAGGGTTTTGGTTGTTTAGGGTTTAGGGTTCAGGTTTTAGGGTTCAGGGTTTGGGGTTCAGGGTTTAGAGGTTTGGGGGTTTAGGGTTTAGGGTTTAGGGTTTGGTTCGGGGCTGAGGGTTTTGGGGTTCAGGGTTTAGGGTTTAGGGCTTTAGGGGTTTAGGGTGTAGCGGGTTTTGGGTTTTGGGGGCTTAGGGCCCAGGCTTGACGGAGCATTGGACTTAGCAAGTTGGCGAGTCTTGAGTAAGATATGGGATGTAGGGTATACACTGACTCCTAAAAGCCCAAACCCTAGACCCTAAACCCCAAACCCTAAACCCCACACCCTAAACCCTAAGCCCCAAACCCTAAACCGTAAAGTTACAGCCGTCAACCCAAAGCTTCCCATCGTTTTGCTTTTCGAAGAACCGGCGAAATCAACAGCAAGCACAGCAAAAAGCCAGGCCGAGAGCCTTAAGCCCTAAACGCTTAATACCCCAAAGCTCCAAAACCACCCGAAATCTTAAGGTTTAGGGTTTAGGGGTAACCCTTTGTTGAACCCTTATAGTCATAGTAACCCTTGTAGTAAGCCTAATCCCTTTTAGTTCTGCTTTGTACCTTGCAGTGCGAAACTGCCGGCAGGCACGGCGGACCTGCGCGGAGAGTTGGTCCAGAAGCGGAAGATCATCCCATGGACGTAGCGCCCCGGGACTTCTTCAGAGTTGGGCGTTTAGGGTTTAGGGTTTAGATTCTAGAGTTTAAAATTTAGGGTTTAGGGTTTAGATTCTAGTGTTTAGAGTTTAGGGTTCAGGGTTTAGATTCTAGAGTTTAGAATTTAGGGTTTAGGCTTAGGATTTAGGCCAGGGTCTGCGGTTTAATGTTGGGCTTTTGGGGTTTTGCCGCTGAACATGGGAGCTCATGAGCTTATCTTTGGGGGGGAGCAGATTTACTTCTTATTTTTTGTTCCGTCGGGGTCGGGGTTGAGGGGTTTCCCGAAACCCTAAACCCTAAACCCTGAACCGTAAGCCCTGAACCCTAAACCCTGAGATTAGGGTTTGGGGTTTCGGGCTTCCTAAAGCGGGAAGCCCGCAGACCCCCCTAGATTTGGGAGCCTAAACCCCAAACCCGAAACCCAGGCGTCAGATGTCGGAAGTGGCAAGATTCTGGGACTCTAGAAACCCCTAAACCATGAACCCCAAGCCCCAAACCCTAAGCCCTAAGCCCTACCCCCTAAGCCCTAAGCCCTAAGCCCTAAACCCCAAGCCCTAAACCCTAAAACTTCATTGGGGAATGGGCCTTCAGGGCCCGGGGCTTAGCCTGTCCGAGCCTTTGCTGGGCGTGGAAACTGGAGGGTTGGCGCACGTGGAATCTTTGGGGTTTGGGAGAGTTAAGGGTTTAGGGTTTTGGGTTTAGGGTTTGGGGTTTAGGGTTTCGGGTTTCGGGTTTAGGGTTTTGGGGTTCAGGGTTTCGGGTTTTGGGGTTCAGGGCTTAGGGTTTTGGGTTTAGGGCTTGGGGTTTTGGGTTTGGGGTTTAGGGCTTGGGGGGCAGTCCGAAATTGCAGGGCAGCTAGTGGGTGCTTGTTCGCCCAATCGCCCCGTGCCTGCGGTTTTGGCGAGGTTACGAGGCCTAAACCCGAAGGCCCGAAAATCAAATCCAAGAAGCAAGCCCCTCAGACCGAAACCATAGGCCCTAAGCTCTTCAGACCGATTCCGTGAGTCCTGAGGACTCGCTAAACTCCAAGCCCTAAAGCCGTCAGAGCAACTGCCAACACAACCGTCCGCTCCGGAACAAAGCTTGGGCCTACACTCTAAACGCTGAAGTGAGCACCCGAAAGCCCCAATACAGGCCCTAGGGTCATCGCAGTTTACGGGTCTGTAGGGCTTCGGGCGGTCGAGAGTGGGTGTGCCCAAGCCGAGGTTGCAGATAGCAGTTTTCCTGAAGCAGTGGGCAAAAGCGGACGAAGACAGCGAGGGAGCAGCGGGAAAAGAGCGGTGCTGAAGTTAGGACTCCCAGGAAGTTCAGCCGGGCCCTTGTAGTGAGACTGCTCACTGGCCCAAGACGAAGTCCCGAAATCCCCAACCCGAATCCTCACCCCGCAATCGTACATACATGCATACATGCATACACGCCTGCATGCATAAATACATGCATACATGCATACATACATACATGCATACATGCATACATGCATACATGCATACATACATACATACATACATACATTCATGCATGAAGGTACACGCACATATACAGAAACAGAAGCACACGTGCATGCACGGGCACGTTTTTAACATTCGTCATTGCACAATTCCATAAGCCATGAATGCAGCCATCCGCACATCTATCGATGCCTGCAGAGACACTTTTACGTGCTTGTGCGTACATGTATATGTGCAAACCTGCTTCGCATACATATATATATATACATACATACATACATACACACACCCACACACACATATATAATATAATATAATCTAATCTAATCTAATATAATATAATATAAT